TGTGTCGCTATGCGTCGGTATGCGTGTGTCGATATATGTCTCTATATGTCGCTATGTGTCGACATGTGTCGCTACGTGTCGCCCCCCAGCACCAGAGCGCACCGCCCCCTCCGCCCCAACGACTTTATTTCGGCGTCGTCGTCGCCACCCCCCCCGTCTCCCTCTCCTCAGCAGCCCAGCGCGCTGCCCCCTCCGCCCCGACCACTTTATTTCGGCGTTGTGTCGACATGTGTCGCTACGTGTCGCTCCCCAGCACCCCAGCGCACGCACCGCCCCCTCCGCCCCGACGACTTTATTTCGGCGTCGTCCTCGCCCCCCCCGCCCCCCCCCTCTCTCTCCCTCTCCTCAGCCCCCCAATCGCGCGTCCCCCCCCCCGCCCACCACTTATTTCGGCGTGTGTCGACATGTGGTCGCTAATTTGTCGCTCCCCAGACACCCCAGCGCAGCTGCCCCCTCCGCCCCGACGACGTTATTTCTGGCGTCGTCCTCGCCCCCCCCCCCCCGCCTTCCCTCTCCCTCTCCTCACACCCAGCGCGCTGCCCCCGCCGGCCACGACCACATTATTTCCGCCGTCGTCGTCGACCCCCCCCCCCCGGTCCTTTTCCCCAGCTAAATGCACTATATACAGAATGTTAGATTAGAAATGGAAAGTAAATTCGATAAAATATAAATGCAAAAAAAAAGAAAGCCCCAGCGCACCGCCCTCTCCGCCCCGACCACTTTATTTCGGCGTCGTCGTCGCCCTATTTCGGCGTTGTGTCGACATGCGTCGCTTTCCCCAGCAGCCCAGCGCACCGCCCTCTCCGCCCCGACGACTTTATTTCGGCGTCGTCGTCGCCCTATTTCGGCGTTGTGTCGACATGTGTCGCTATGTGTCGCTCCCCAGCACCCCAGCGCACCGCCCCCTCCGCCCCGACGACTTTATTTCGGCGTCGTCGTCGCCCCCACCCCCCCTCTCCCTCTCTCTCTCTCTCTCTCCTCGCTTCTCATCTTCTCTCTCTCTCTCTCTCTTCTCCTCAGCAGCCCAGCGCGCTGCCCCCTCCGCCCCGACCACTTTATTTCGGCGTTGTGTCGGCATGTGTCGCTATGTGTCGCTCCCCAGCACCCCAGCGCACCGCCCCCTCCGCCCCGACGACTTTATTTCGGCGTCGTCGTCGCCCCCCCTCCCCCCCCCCTCTCCCCAGCAGCCCAGCGCGCCGCCCCCTTCGCCCCGACCACTTTAATTTTTCGCGGCGTCGTCGCCACCCCCCCCTGTTCCTTTTCCCAGCAGCAGCCCAATCCCAGCGCACGCCAACCCCTCCGCCCCGACCATTTTTTTCTCTTGCACAGGGTGTCTAGAGCTCCGGCCATTTTATTTCGCGTCGCTCCCCCCCCCCCCCGCGTCCTCAGCGCCAGAGTGGGGCCCCCGCGCCGTGGCTCTCTGCCCCAAACCCCCCAGCGTCCCCAGCGCCCCAGCGGGGGCCCCGCCCACTGCCCCCTCCGCCACGAACGCTTTATCCCGCGTCGCCCCCCCCGCCCCCCCGCGTCCCCAGCGCCAGTGTGAGGCCCACGCGCCGTGGCTTTCTGCCCCGAGCCCACCGCGTCCCCAGCGCCCCAGCGGGGGCCCCGCCCACTGCCCCCTCCGCCACGAACGGTTTCTCCCGCGTCGCAGCTCCCCCCCCTCCCCCGCGTCTCCAGCGCCAGTGTGGGACCCCTGCGCCGTGGCTCTCTGCCCCAAGCCCCACTGCGTCCCCAGCGCCCCAGCGGGGCCCCCGCCCACTGCCCCCTCCGACACGGACGCTGTATTACGCGTCGCACCCCCCCCCCTCCGCGTCCCCAGCGCCAGAGTGGAACCCCCGCGCCGCGGTTCTCTGCCCAGAGCCCCCCCGCGTCCCCAGCGCCCCAGCGGGGGCCCCGCCCACTGCCCCTTCCGCCACTAACGCTTCATCCCGCGTCGCGCCGCACACCACCTCCCCCACCTCCCTCCCCGCGTCCCCAGCGCCCCAGTGGGGACTCCGCCCCGTGCCCCCTCCGCCCCGACAATTTTACTCCGCGTCGCGACGCACGCCACCTCCCCCCCTTCCCCCCCTTTCCCCAGCGCCCCAGTTGGACCCCCGCCCCGTGGCCCTCTGCCCCAAGCCCCGCCCAGTGCCCCCTCCGCCCCGACAGTTTATTCCGCGTCGCGGCACACACCACCACCCCTCCTCTCCGCGCCCCCAGCGCCCCAGTGGGACCTCCGCCCCGTGCTCCCTCCGCTCCGAGCATTGTATTCCGCGTCGCGACGCACGCCGCCTCCCCCACCCTCCCCACCTGGGACTTGGGCCCCGTTGGACTTGGGCCCCGTTGCTGGGCCCAGAGGGCGATGCTTTGCCCCCTCTCCTCCTCCTCCTCCTCCTCCTCCTCCTCCTCCTCCTCCTCCTCCTCCTCCTCCTCCTCCTCCTCCTCCTCCTCTTCCTCCTCCTCCCCCTTCCTTGTTGTGCAAGGGCTATGGCACACGTGCCACTTGTTTTACAAGGGATGGTGGGGGAGGGGGGCCGCATTGACCCTTGTTGGCTCCCAGTCGCCCGGGGGAGGGGGTGTATACTAATAGGGAACAGTGGTCAAGTTAGCCAGCTCGAGCGAGCCAGAGGGCTCCGTCCACCCCCACCCGCCCGCCCACAACATGAGAAGCAAGTGCGTCGCGTCCGACGCTTGTCGCTCATCTCATACCGTTGGTGGCTAGACGTTCGGCGCGACACTAGCTGCGTCCTATTCCTGCCGCGTATTGAGCAAGCCGACGAGAAACAACACCGCGCGCGATGTACGCCGCGCAACGCTCCAGCCTCTCATGTTGCATCGTCGGCGACAACATGCCCAGCGCGCGAAGTGCGCCGTGCCTCATTCCAGCCACGCGCGTTGCACCGCCAAGATTCGCAGCGCCGACGAGGAGAATGTACATGTTGGCAAGAAGAAGGTCGACGTTGCGGCGTGTTTTTGGCAGGTGGGACGGGGGGTCCCGCGTAGGGTTGGCCAGGCGTCCGCGCGCGATGTGCGCCGCACCCCATTCCCGCTACGCGATTCGCAGCGCCGACGAGGAGAAACTACATGCTGACAAGAAAAAAAGGTCGACGCTGCTGCGTTTTCTGACAAGTAGGACGGGGGGTCCCGCGTAGGGTTGGCCAGGCGTCCGCGCGCGATGTGCGCCGCGTCCCACTTTTGTTACACTGTTCGTAGCGTCGACGACAAGAAAGTCTATGTTGACGAGGAACACGTTGACTATGCATTGTTTCGTGATGGGTGGGACGCGACCACCCGCTTAGGGCTACCCAAGCGGTGTCCATCCCGCCGCGTTCCTGCTACATTTTTCGCAACTCGACGACATGTTGGCGAGACAAAATGTGAGTTTGTATTGTTAGTTGACAGTTCGGACGGCGGGGTTGCTATCGGCCGGCTGGGTGGGGATGTGGGGGTGTTGAATCATAGGACGTAAGGATCATTACTCTCCTAGATAGTAGCCGTCTAGCTCACTTCCATCTGCACCCCCAACACATCAGTAACACCCGAGCCTCAGCATGTTCAGAGGTCGTCTTTGGAAGGACAACGATGGGAAGCCAAAGCCGACCCAATGTGCGCGACGCTGGGGCGAGGTGCGCCACGCGTACCAAGCGCGCCACGCGCGCCAGGCTCCCTCTGGGGCCCGAGCGTGCCAGGCACGCCTAGTGCGCCAGATGCGCTACGTGCTCCACGTGCGCCAGGTGTGCCGCATAGTGCAGCCGCGCCAGGTGCACCACATTCGGGGCACGTTCAGGATGTGTCAGGTGCGCCTGCGCATGTGACAGCACATATCGGAAAAATGTCGGTCCCCACCATCACTGTCGAAAACCAATACAAATCATTGCGTCTGTTGGGCCTGGACACAACAGGCCATGCGCCACCACCCCCGCCGTCCCTGTCAAAAACCAATTGACGGTGATTGCGGGGTGGCCGCGCATGATCCAAATTCAGCCGCGAGGTGCATGTTGTATGGTTTTTGACATGGATGGTGGCCCTGCGCACAGCAGTTAATATGCTGACGCCCCCGGCGTCCCTGTCAAAAACAATACAAAGTGCCCACGGGCCTCACGAGCATGATGCAAGACTTTACCGAAGTGTATCTTGTATTGTTGTGACAGGGATGGTGGTGGTGGGGACCCGCATCGGGTTGGTTGCGCAGGCTCCGAATTTGGAGGCAGATTGTGTTTTGTATGTTTTTTTTGACAGGGATGGTTGGGGGGTGGGGAGCATAGGGTCGGCATTGTTCCTGGTTGGCTGCCGGTCGCCTGGGGGAGGGTGTGTGTATTTTTTGGGAACAGTGATCAACCGCTCCCCCGAGCATGGGAAGCAGGGGGCTTTGGCATAGAGATGACAACGTTGGTTGAACAACCTACACATTGTTCATTCCTAAGTATTCGGAAGTTCTTTGATGATTTGGGGGGCCAACATCCTCTCATTTCTAATTCGTCCAGGTCCGTCCTGGACCTCTTCCTGGCCACCGGGGGGCCAGGAACAATTCGACACGAGCACAATTAGAAATGAGCACGATTAGAGATGAACGACGTGTACGCCCAGAGGGCTGGTGGGATTCGGCAGTGGCGTTGGTCAAATGTGCTTCACGGAAGAAACCTGCAGGTGTAAAGGAATTGACAGTAAGTTTTTCACAGCTGGCAGCAACTTCGCCCAACCCCAAGTTGGTCGACTCGGAACCTCAGTTGAAGGGAATCCGAGTCGATCCAGGCCGCCCAAATAGGGTCGGACCAAGCGCCGACGCATCAGCGATGCACCGCCGACGCATTGGCGATGCTTCGCGAGCTGGAGCTTGATCGCTTTTATCCGGGCATTGCAGATGCATCGCCGATACGCCGCAATCTTCAGGCCTTATCAGCCCCTGATCACATATGAGCGGCCTCCACTAGGTCCAGGCAGTAGCACATGCAATAATATGGTGCGGGTTTGTTTGGCAGTGGGGCAGAGCCGTCACGTTCGCATAGCGAAAACCCCGCGAG